CTTTCCCTTAGAGCCTGGTGAACTGAATCACCCTATTTCCCCGAATATGCGGCACCCTTCACAGCACCTTCCCTTCACCTGCTGTTTGTTTCCTTTGTTCTAAAGAACACCCTCTTCCTCCCCCCATGCTACTGGAAAACTATTTATTCTCCAAGACTCAGGCAAGTGTCTCCTCCTCTTTGAGCCTTCCCAGGTGCCACCTTGGGGTGGGGAGGTGTGCACACAAAGCTGTAGTCACTTATTCATGTCTTTTATCCAGGTCCCCACCACAGCAGCACTGGCACTCCATATATAGTGAATAACAGCAGAAGGCTCGTCCCAAAGCCGTTCACCGTATCTGACTGCCAGCATCCCTCTGTGGAATAACCAAGACCAGGGAGATTAAGAGCATCCTGGGGTCACTAAGAACAGAGAGAAAAGACTGTGACAAACCCCTGCCGTGGCAAAGGTCACAACACTGTCACTGTCCTGAAGCATTCCTCTGGCCTGGTCAGGGGCACAGCCCTGGGATGTGCTTGTTCGTATCTTGTCATTCTAGTAAAAGTATTTAAAGGAAAATACTCCTTCACACTGCTTTTTCTTTTCACTTCCCAAGTTCCCTCTTTTCTTTGCCTCACAGCTCACCTGTCTGTTCAGCCCTGATGAATTGCCTGACAAAACCCGGTCTGTGACCATGCCCCTCACAGGCTCCACTCACCCAGTCACAGCCCTCAGGGGCTTTAGCTCCACCAGCATTCCATTGTCTGGGGCCCAAGACTGTCATCCAGGGATGGGAACATTCTCTGTCCTGGGGCAAAGGACCTAGCCTGCTTTTAATTGTTTCTAGGAAGACTTCTCACCAAAAACAGGGCTAATGATCAGTCTGGTGAAAATAAAGCCATAGACTAAGTTAAAAATGCCTAGCACACAGGATTGGGTATTGATTATGACAGGACTTGATTAGAGCTGCAGTTTTTGGAGTAATTATTTAGAAAATTACGGTAGTAAGTTAGACTCTGAGGGCAGCCCAGGTTTAGGGTGAAAGTTAGATTTCTTCTGATGCCTGAGAGTTCTAGACAGACCCTGGGCTTTACCTCCTCTGCTATGAAAGTATGAAAACTGACTCCAGAGTGGCCACAGCCAGGATGAAGCTGCCACACAGTGACAGAGAAAGAAGATACTCACACAGGCGGCCGTAATTTGCACTTTGCCGCATCCTCAGGTCCTCGGTGGAGTGGTGTAGGCTGGGGCCCGCTGCGGGGCTCCGGCCTGGGCTGCGATCTGGGAGGAGGGACAGAAGAGATTTGACTTCGGCAGACTTGCTGGAGTGGTGCAGCTTCTTCCGTTAGCACCATTCACGTTTACAATCATGTCACCTAAATAAAGCTGGGATGCAAGACATGCCTCTTCCCCTTCTAGGAAGAAAGGATGTTCTGGTTTTGGTTCTTGTTTGTCAGGATTTTTTTAAGCAAGTGAGTAGTCTGAACATGATTAGAGAAAATATTTGTACCTTTGAAAGTGAAATAGATATACAATTGATTAAATAGACACCAGGTGTTGTAGATGACCCCTGATTCCACAACCTACTGGCCGTGTGATCTTAGGTAAGTAACTTAACCTCTCCGTGCCTCAGCCTCCTCATCTGTAAACTGGGGATGATGAGAACGGTACCTAGTCATGGGGTTATTGTGAGGATGAAGTGAGTTAATACATGTGGAGCACTCAGACAGTGCCTGGAACACAGGTAAGTGCCGAGTACGTACCCACTGTAGGCTAAACATTTTCCATTTAAAATAATTCATCTAAGGAGATTCCTCAAGTCTCTTTAGTTAGCAGCGTTATCAACTTTGTACTGATTATTGCATTTATCTGACAGGTCCAGCAAGGCTAGTGTCTGGGCATCTCAACTCTGGGATATCAAGAGTGGAGGGTTGCAGGTTTGAGATGCGTGCATAGGACAAGCCACCAGCGTATGGCCCGACTCACTGGTGGTGGAGGAGACTGACTTTCCAATGTCAACCAAGGAGCGGTGGATGGGCTTCTTGGTTTGGTGACGGTGTTTCCTCAGTAGGACGTAGCTGACCCTCTCTCGGAGCTCTGGCCGAAGGAGGCCGTCCTCGATTTGCTTTTCAATGACATCATCTAAGTGGGAAACAAACATGCCTTGTCCACGTGGCACCGAATGACCAGGGGTGTGGGGGTCTTCAGTTTCATCTGTTATTAGTGGGATTAAAAGTGACCTAAAGGAGGCAGGGAATGTAGAAATAGTCCCACCTTTGCCACAGAACTGAAAATTTGAACCAGTCATGAACGCTCAGCCTCCTTATATGTAAAAGGGTGTGTGCACGTCTGTGGGAGTTCGTGTATGTGGATGCATGTGTGTGTGCATGGGGGTGCATTGTGTGCCCATGTGGGTGCACATGTGCATGCATGTGTGGGTATAGGATTCTCTGCTCTTTCTATCAATAACATTGTGGAAAATAAATGAAATTGTACACATGAAAGTACCCTAAGAAGCACAAGGTACAATGCTAAGTGGTTTTAGTCCTAACATGAATTCTTTTTAGAAAAGTATTTTGGGCAATGTAGTTCTGGCAAAATTGAATGTGCTAAAACAAAATTCACAAGTTTTAGGGATGGTAAGGCAAGTCGCTCCCTCCCTTTGCCACTCTATCAAACGAGAGCTAATTTCCTGAAGATGAATGGTGATCTATTTACCCTGACAAGAAACAGGTTGCCATGGCAATAAGTGTCTCCAACCATGCTAAGAAGCCCTTCTCCCTTTTGTTACATTGCTGGATGGCATTTCAGACGCTGATCTTCCCCTCTCTACGTGTATCTGAAACTTGGAGCAACTGTGACACTGCCTTTGGGGCCTCAGACCCAACGCCCGGTCTCTGCAGAATTAGGCAGGCATCAGAGGTGGGTGTGCCATGCAGACCAAGGGTGGGCATGAGATGGGGCAGGTGAAGGGGGGCGCTGCCCTGCTTTGGTGGGGGCCACAGCGGTCCTTGACTCACCTATGATCTGTGGTAAGGAGCCGCTGTCCAAATCCAGCAGCACCGTCCCCGTCTGCAGGCAGGTCCGGAGCTCAAAGAGGCTGTGCAGGGACAGTGTGGACACATGGGGCTTGCTCCAGCGCTCGCCTCCTTCCTCTACCTTCTCTTCAAACTTTATCCACCTGGAAAAGTAAGGATGGGGCTCAGCATGGCCTTTGCCCTCAGGAGGAGCCCACAGCTGGGCCTCTTCAAGAGAGGGGTGTTGGCTTGTGAGTCATGCTATGCACATTGTTGGGGCATTGGTCCTAGACTCACATGCAGAGGATCTCCTGGGGACATCACCACTCGGTCCCCCACTCCTCCTGATGCAGTAATGCTCAGGATAAAGTGGCATCAGAGAATGACTATAAATGGGCATGAAGGATGCTTTTAGGGTGGTGGAAATGTTCTAAAATTGGATTTGGTGATGGTCACACAACTCTGTACATTTACTAAAAATCATTTAATTAATACACTTAAAACAAGGGAACTTTATGGTATCCGTTAATAATAGAGCTGTTAAAAAAACCGTCCACTGGACCCTAGCTACCCGTCTACTGGTCACACATGTGTTCAATGTCTGCCTTATGGGGTGTTTTCTGGGAGCAGGAAAGTATTTCCCCACAGTTCTAGTGTAGGGCCTGAGGTTTTCATGAGTCCCACTCGTATTTTGGCTCTGAAAGTTCAAGTTAAAATCCAAACGTCATTTGAGGAAGGAAAGAAATTAAACCAAGGGTATGTAGGAGTTTGTCCTTTCTAGAAGCCTTGGAACCATAGGTTGGGGTGGAGGGGACCAAGTGGGAAGGCCTTGGGCAGGCTGGCAGAGGTAGCACTGGCCTGTACCTCCCCCGCAGAGGGCAGCACCACACAGCCTGGAGAGCCACTGGGAAGCAAAATCTGGCTGGAGACCTGCTGGCTCAGCTTTATTAGACATCGACCTCAAGTTAGTAAGTAGCGTCAAGCTATGCCAATCAAAATCCCAGGGGAGTATTTTTGGACTGTGACTATCTAATTCTAAAGTTCCTCTGAAAAAGTAAATGTCTGAGAGTGGTTTGGGAAAGTCTAAAAAAGAAGAATGGGGAGGGGACATGCTTTTAGCAGATATAAAAACTTACTGAAAAGCTTGAGTAATTAAAGCATTGTAATTCCAGTCCAGATATAGACAAAGGGATCAATAAAACAACAGTTGGAAACAGACCTGAGCCCCATGGGAATTTGGGTTTTGATGGAGGAGCCCTTTAAAAGATGACCAACCTAAATATAAAAAAGTCCCTACTTCTTACCAAGCACTACTAAATTCTATGTGGATTAAAGGCTAGACATAAAAATAAATCTATAATGGAATACTGTTGAGCCTTAAAATAAAGGAAATTTTGACGCATGCTACAGCATGAATAAAACTTGAAGACATTATGCTAAGTGAAATAAGCCAGTCACAAAAGGACAAATACTGTAAGATTCCACTTCTATGAGGGACCTAGAGTAGTCAAATTCATAGACAGAAAGTAAAATGGTGGTTACCAGGGACTGAGGGGAGAGAGGCAGGGGAATTACTGTTTAAGTGGTACAGGAGTTCAGGAGATGGATGGTAGTGATGGTTACACAACAATGTGAATGTACTTAATGCTATTGAACTGTACACTTAAAGATGGTTAAAATGGTAAAGTTTATGTTATATATATTTTACCACAATTAAAATAAATAAATAACCATGTTAAAATCTATAAACAAAAATATAAACATGCTAGAAGAGAATATAGGAGAATGTTGTGGTTGTGGAGAAAGACTTCCTAAGCAAGATGTAAAACCATAAAGAGAAAATAAATGGGCACATTTTGTTACATAAAAATAAACTAAAACCTCTGTATAACACAATAAGACATAAATGAAATTCACATACATGCAACATACTCAGAAAATATTTGCAACAAACAGGGCATCAAAGGATTTTTTTTTTTTTTGGCTGCACCAGATGGCATGTGGGATCTTAGTTCCCCGACTAGGGATCAAACCTGCACCCCCTGCTTTGGAAGCGTGGAGTCTTAACCACTGGACCACCAGGGAAGTCCACAAAGCTTCTTCACATCAATAAGAAAAACTCAAATTACCCAACTGAAAAGTGAACAATTCTGAAAAGAAATAATGGCCAATAAATGTATGAAAAGATGTTCAACTTTACTAGTAATCAAGAACATTTAAATTGTTGCAAATGAAACAACATCCTTCACTTCTCATATTGGCAAAAATTTAAAAGACTGACAACTTCCTGTGTTGGTGGAAACATGGGGGTTGGGCACTCAAACTATACTCCTCGGGGTGGGGAACTGGGGAGTCTCTTTTGTCTTTTGACTGAGCAGTTCTATTTCTAGGAAATTATCACAGGAGTATCATTGCACATCTACACACAGTAATATGTATACCAGGAAATGCTTTGTCCAGTAGGGTGAATAACTGGAAACCACCAGTTTTCAGTAAAGACATGGTTACATCAATTCCATACTTCCATGCTGAAGAATAACACTCAGAGATAAAAAGCACGAGGGTGAACTATGCGTACTGACAGGATGGACAATACCATCCCATTCTATAAAAAAAAGAAAAACACACGTGTGTGTGTGTGTGTGTTTACACATGTGTCTGAACATGCCCAGAAGCAGTTTTGAAAGGATGCCTGTCAGGTGGTTAAATGGTTACTTCTGAAGGGAAGTGTGGGGTTGTTGGTGGGGGGAGGATTTAAAAGACTTGCAATCTATTTGGGTTAATTAGTGTAGTAAGAGCACAACCTGTGGAACAAGACAGCCAAGTTTTATTTTTTATTTATCTTTGGCTGCGTTGGGTCTTCATTGCTGCGTGTGGGCTTTCTCTAGTTGCAGTGAGCAGGGGCTACTGTTCATTGCAGTGCGCAGGCTTCTCATTGCAGTGGCTTCTCTTGTTGCGGAGCACGGGCTCTAGGCACATGGGCTTCTGTAGCTGTGGCACGTGGGCTCAGTGGTTGTGGTGCATGGGCTTAGTTGCTCCGCGGCATGTGGGATCTTCCTGGACCAGGGCTCAAACCCGTGTCCCGTGCATTGGCAGGCAGACTCCTAACCACTGTGCCACAAGGGAAGTCCCGACAACCAAGTTTTGAATTCCACCTTCACATTTACTAGCTATGGACTTTGGGCAAGTTACTCAATCTCTCACCACCTTTGTTTTCTTTAGGAATACTAACAGTTTATAGCAATTAGAGAAGTGCCTGGCACATAATGCACACTCTGTTAGTGTTAGCTATTAATGTGAAAATAAATAATGTTGCTTTTTTAAGTTTAGAAACAATAAGGAAATAAGAAAGTAAAGACATTCAAAGCTCTCCCAACCAGAAGACACCATGGTTGATATTCTGATGACCTTCATCTTAGATCTCTGTGGGCATGAATGCACACATGCATGCATGCACACACACACTTTTACATTAATGACACCATAAGGGCATGGTATCTAATGGATATCCTTTCATGTCTATAAATGTCTATAAATATTCATATCATTTTAAAGGCTCTTTAGCATTCCACTGTATGAGTAGGCCATAATTTATGTGAATAAACCTCATTTGGTTGACATTTAGATTATTTCTAAATATTCTTTATCATAAACAAGGCTGGTTTGAATTTCCTTGACCCCTGTTCAATAATTTCCTTACAATAAACTCTCAGGAGTGGAACTGCTGTGTCTGCACATTTTTACGTGTATGGCATACATTGTCAAACTGTTCTCCAGAAAGCTGTGCCAATTCATACTTCCACCAATGTACAGGAGACCTCACATTTCTCTGAAGTCTCTCAAACTCTAGTATTGTCATTCCTTTCCACTTTTGTGCATTTGGTAATTGAAAAATCATATCATATTTGCATTCTTTTGACTGCATGTGAGGTTGAACATCTTTTCCTTTGTCAGATTTCTTCTTTACACAATTGTGTGAGCATTTTGCAGTATCAGTGTTTAATACCCTGATTCAATACATTTATCTGAGACCAGTTAACTTGGAACCTGGTGGGGCCTTGGGGCTTGGATGGACACAGGATGGGGAGGGTTTTTTCCTAAATATATACATGTTTGTTTTGTTTTGTTTTGTTTTTGCGGTACGCGGACTTCTCACTGTTGTGGCCTCTCCCGTTGCAGAGCACAGGCTCCAGACCCGCAGGCTCAGCAGCCATGGCTCATGGGCTCAGCCACTCCGTGGCATGTGGGATCTTCCCAGACCGGGACACGAACCCGTGTCCCCTGCATCAGCAGGCGGACTCTCAACCACTGTGCCACCAGGGAAGTCCTATACATGTTTATTGACTAGTGTTATTATGGACCTATTATTACAGGTAAATGATTCTTTTTTTAAAAAAATATGTATGTATGTATGTATGTATTTGGCTGTGCCAGGTCTTAGTTGCAGCACACGGGATCTTTAGTTGTGGCATGCGGGATCTTTTTTAGTTGCAGCATGCAGGCTCTTAGTTGTGGCATGTGGGGTCTAGTTCCCTGACCAGGGATCGAACCCAGACCCCATGCATTGGGAGCACAGACTCTTAACCACTGGACCACGAGGGAAGTCCTTAAATGATTCTTTTTTAATTGAAGTATAGTTGATTTACAAAGTTGTGTTAGTTTCTGGTGTGCAGCAAAGGAGTTCAGTTATATATATAAACTTTTTCATATTATTTTCCATTATGGTTTCTTAAGGGATATTGAATATAGTTCCCTGTGCTATACAATAGGCCCCTGTTGTTTATCCATTCTATATATGAGTTTGCATCTGCTAGTCCCAAACTCCGAAGGATGGGGAGGTTTGATTAGAGGAGGCCTGGGAGGTGAAGACATGGCGCTGGAGCAGAGACCACTCAGACACTTGCCTCAGAGACTCACCAAGGTGTAGTGGACATTTTCAATGGGGAAATATGCTTGGGAGAACATTATTTAAATTATGGTAGATCCAAGTCTGTATAATATCAATACAAAGTTTTTCTAAAACTTGTATTAACATAATGGTTTGCAAGGAAGAAATCAAAGGACAGGTCCAAATGTTTTGGTCAGGACATGCTCACTCTTCTCCCTGAGAGTCCTTCTCCTATTTAATCACTCAAATTGCCCCCTTTTACCTCAAAAATACATG